CTGCCATGTCTTGATATAAATATTATTGAGAAGTTCTTACAAGTGGGAGACTGCCTATTATACTTCTATGTTGGGGTTCTCAGCCACCATGGGCCTAACCCCCATCTTTCTCCAGCTAGGACTACCAGTCTAAACCCACTGGGTAGGGTTTGACACTGAGGCTGTAGCTCCTTACTCCTCTCTGGGCCCATGGCCCTCCTTTTTTTTTTTTTTTTTTTTTTACTATGGACCCAGGCCTTCTGGCCCCTTTTCATCCTGCGCCCCCTGGATGCCAAGTTATTGGGTCTTCTGCCTCCTCAGGCTTGGCCCTTTCTTATACTAGCCAAGATCCCTCCACTGGGACCCAGCTTCAAAGTCCTGCAGCCAGCTCTAGGCTATTGGCCCTATATGGCTGCACCCACTAGGGCATTAAACCCTTTGGCCCTTTGGTGCCCTGAGGGGCTAATGAGGCCTCCTCCTTCCCTACAGCCTCGACCACAAACCACCGGTCTATCAATCAAAAAAATATATAAACAGTAAGTCCATGGGCTATAACCACAGAAAAATAGAAATTAAAGAAGGTAGCGTGCCAGCTTACATTTTTTACATGGCTCGGTGCTTCTGCTTCCCCTTGTCTGTGATGTTCCTCCTTGTGGCACTGCTACCACTTCTCTGAAAGTCATCAGGAGTTCCCTTCTCACAGGAGCTGGACCAGCAGCCAAGCCTCTCCATGGAGCTCTCATACACAACCTACTTCCCCTTTGGCTGCTACCTCCAACTGCTGCCAAGCCCAGGATTTTTATAGTTCTGGCCTGCCCCCTTCTGTTCTCCTGGGTAGCCAACCAGGCTCAGCTTTTACCTCTACCCTACCAGCAGGCTGTGCCCAGAAAGTTCTGGTCTTATAGGGACCAGCCTGCTTTCTGATAACAAGGCTAGGGTTCCCTGTTACAGTAACCCTTCTGGGTACACTTCTGGCAGAGTGGGGGGTGAGGGGTGGCAGCGGCTGGATGCGGGGTGGGCGGTGGCAGCAGAGGGTGGTTGATGGCAGCGGCTGCTGCTGTGTGCAAGCTCCCCTTGCCCCACATCCAGCCGGCTAGGTGGCACCTGTGCAGCCCCCATAGGGGAGGCATTGCTCTCACCCTATCCCCCCCCAGCCCTGCTCCTGGGAGGCCATGGCACAGGTTGGTGTGTGATGGAACTCCATCTCCACTCACCTGTGCGTAACCCCTACCCCCTTTCCAAGTACCCCCAGGGGGCAACCCCTGAGCTAACGTATTGTAAATTCACTTACTGCCCACTAACTGCCCCTTACAGACAGGCCTTGAATAATTTGCTGAGGGATTGACCGAGAATTCCACTGAAATCAAAGGGGCTATTTCCATTTACTTCAGAGGCCTTTGGAGCAGGGCCCAAATCCTTCCCATACATTGCAGTGGGCACTTCATATGATATGAAAAATTTCTCAAGAAGAATTTGGGTAAGACCAAATTTCACTTCTAAAATCAAAGAAACATTTCCTATTGACTTCCATGGGAATAAGTGCAGCTTCATTATGGTTTACTAATATATCATACTGTTCACAAACTCAATCATTCTTTGGGCAAAAACTAAGGATAGTTAGCAACAGACATGCAAAATATGAGCCAGAATCTGATGTTTCACAAGGTCAACCTAGAGTCACACCTTTGAATTAGAGGCCTTAGCATCTACTGTATAGAATACAGGGTAACCCAAAAGTGAAATGGCCTTAGGGAAGCAATTCCAGATTTTCATGCAATTGAATATAAACTCTAAACTCTGTTGTCAAGAGACAGCATAAAAGCAATTTAAGAAATGTCAGACTATCTGGGGGAAAGAGCAAATGTATAAGACTGCATAGGCTGGGTTATGTGCTTATAAAATTTGTCATGAGAATGGGGACATTATTAGGAATACTGTTTGTTTATAAAAGCTTGAAAGCAGGAATTATGTCTTTGGGCAGCTAAAATCCAGCTGTTCAAGCTGATTTGTCTGTCTGTCAGATATGCTGTCTTTTTTTCTTCTGTGATATAATAGAAAACATGATTGTAAGATCCTGACCTAGGTTCTGTCCTAACTCACTGAGAGCCAACTCTCACCTCAAAATGAAGACCACTAAGTTGCATCCAGAATAATTCAGAGTACAATTTGGCCCTTAAATTTTAAGGTCAGCATATACATAGGCAAACAATTCCTTTGAGGTACAAAAAGCACATGTTGAATTCTGAGAACAGAAAATTGCTAATGGAAGGAAAACAGCAATTAATTCATAAAATAGAGTGAAGGACATGCTTTTGTATATCCAATAGGAAAAACAATCAGGTTTGTGCATTGAAAAGAAAATCTTGGGCCAATTTGGCAGTGCTTACCTTTTTATGGAAGGTTATTGAATGAGTTTAGTGAGAGCTTTGTTTTAGTTAAGGACCACAGAAGGTTTTTAATTCAACACACATATCGTATCAAATAGCGGCAGTCATCAGATGGCTAGTTAAACTGGCTTGTGGCCTCACATAACTCTGGAGTATCACAAAGTAGCCATTGCAGATTAAGGGATCTGGTTTGAGGTAGGTTTGGTATGTATCATCAGTACCAAAAGCAAAATGTGGACGAATCCCTGAAACCACATCAAGTTCCTGATGACCTTGGGACCAAGGTTGGCAGATTTCAAAGAAATAGAAAACACTACGATTTCTATTTAAGGCCTACCATTTTCTTTTTCATTTTTCAATTGAGCTGTTACATTTCACATAGCAGTATCATAACACAGTAAATTATACAGTTTGCTCATAGTAAGACTTCAGAGGAGTGAATAACTAATAATTACCAAAATGAGACAATCACAAGTGATTCTCTTTGTTAAATGGGTTAACGCATCTCAGATTGAGTCTGTGGTATGTGCATATACTATAGGCTAGTAGAAATATCAATACAAAAAACAGAGAACTTGAGGCTTTTCCTTCCTTCTTGCCCCCTGCTCCCAACCCCTACCCCAGTTCCTCTCAAAAAGCCCTGGGATTACCTTTCACACTGTTAACATATCATAACATCATTCTCATGTTTTGTTAGGATCACCTGTTCAGAGACTTATGGATGGAAGGACAAAAAAGTTAGGGCCAACATCTATTAAACCTTTTGAGTGAAAGACAATTAATCCGGAATCTGTTAGTAAAGAGGAAGTGGGAAAAAAAGAAATATAGTAATAGAGAATGCCAAATTCCTGCCTACCACGGCAAGTGGGAGAGAATATTAGATTTCAAAGTCAAAGTGACTGGCAAATTACCAAAAGAAAAACTATACTGTCACAAAGGCCCTATGGGATATTCCCCTGAGAGACCGTCCTAGAGAAAGAAGGGAAATACATCTCAAATCAAAAAGATACTGGCTCTAAGATACTTAGGAAAATCACGATGTTGCCAATAGCTTTTTGTGCTAACAGAATTAACACTAGCTGCCCATTCACTAATAACAGGGAAGGACTGAGAGCAGCACCCATGAGATTTATGCCACTGCAGAAAGTATTGATTTGAGAAGTAAAGAACAGAAAGTCACTAAGGAGTGGTGACCATGATAATTCCTTGATAGTATTAATTAGTATGTTATACATGCATTTCATGCTTTCTTTGACATAAGTCTGTATAATCACTGGAAGCAATGGATGCTGAGCCCCTCTTTATGTTCTTGGCACCTTAACCACAGGCAGGATGACTATGCATCAGACCTTTTTGAAATCATAATCATTAATATATATTTTGGATGATAATTACAAGTTTTCTACTGTACTGTGTGCTTATCCTAGGTATAGAATGAGGAGTAAATATTCCATTTTAAAACATTGCTGACCAAAATAAAACAAAGAGTGCACGAGAAGAATCACCAGAAAACTGCAGGTTAGATACAATATCTGAGGGTTATTGCTGTTATAAATCACTGCAGGATTACATCTACCACCACACAATAAACATGAAATTTCCCTCCAGAACTCAAAACTTGAAAGTTCTCTCTCTCCATGTTTCGAAACAATAGAGAGAAATATGATATTACCAAGGGAGCTGATTCATTCAGTTATACTATTTAGAACAAGCCAAGAGCACTATCCACAACCCAGCTAATACTGAACTGTCTGAACTCAACTGTCTCAACATTTTTGGGGTGAAAAACCAGAGAAATTACCTGAGGCTCAGACCATGGCAGGGTGGGGGAAAGGAGTGCAGGGGAAGAGAGGGTCTCATTTAGCTAAGTTATTGCAATGCGCAGGTGATGAGACAGGGGGTCCATGCCTTAACCAGTACTATGGGCACCCACAAGTCTAATGTCAGTTCTGATATGAAGTAAACTTAAATCTGAGTAGTGTTCTATGCATTTTTGCCCAAGCCTTTAAAATAAAACAGCAAAAGGCAAGTAGTTTCCCAATTACTCCCTGAAAAATAGCTGATGATAGAGTAGAAACAAAAAAGAATTACCAGGGGCTCCACTGGTGAAGAGGAGCCTCATTAGAAATAAAATCAAGTTAAAAATATTAGGGATATTTTAGGATGGGTTCTATGGTCAAACACCAACTCAGGTTAGAGGCTAGTCCAATTTTCACTAAATATAGTATTTAGTGAGTAAATTTTAGTTATATACTATGAGTCCCCAGAAAAAGCATGCACCCTTTTTCAGAAGGCAGAGTAAAGAAAAAAACACCATTTTTTCTTGCCAATAGTATAAACATGGGCAGTTGCAGTAGGAGAGAGTGATAACCTTCTCTGTTTAAGCACTAACTGCTGACTTGCTGTGGACAATTCTTCTTTCAGCAGCAGCAGCTGCAGCAGGGTTTATCCAAGATGCAGTTTGAGGCAGCCTGCACAAAGCCAGCTGATTTTCCAGGAAAGTTATATGTGGTATTTAAGAAAATATGGTAGTTCACTATGTAGGCAAATATTGTATTAGACCATGCTAGTAATGTAGCTTTAAGATCATGGGCAGA